ACTGCTGCTGAGGGTCGACTTTATAGCTTTCCTATCCACGCTCTCATTTTGGGACAAATTCCCAGAACTTCCACGGTATCCAACAAAGTCCCAATAAAAAAAGCTTTCTCTGCGTCTATTGATATCAGACTGGGGGATTTTTTCTTCTTGATTTTTTTTATGAGGAATAATGATCTCAGCCCATTGTGTCTTCCCTCCCGCCCAGGGACAAATCCCATTTGATGTAGGTAAATCCAATCCGGCATTAGGTCTTTCAACCTATTTGCCAGGACCTTTGCGTATAATTTGGTATCCACATTTAACAGTGATATGGGTCTATAACTAGCACATTGGGTTCCCTCTTTCTTAAGGATTGTAATATATGCTTGCAATGATTCCTCCCTCATTTCCATCCCCTCTCCTATATAAACTCAGTTTAGGGACTAATTGTTCTTTAAATTTTTTGTATTATCTCACAGTATACCCATCTGGCCCTGGGCTATTCCCAGTCATTTTGCTCTTCAGTGCTGCCTGAATTTCCTCCTGCATTATTGTTTTTCCCAGACATTAATCGTTTCACTCCCACTCTCAGTAATCCCGCCTCTTTCAAAAACATCTGTCTCTTACTAGTTCTTACTTCTTCCCCCCCCTTTTAACTGCTTCGGGTTAACATCATATTTACTGCAATATTTTTTTTAATACATTTGCGATATCAGTGGTTGAGTAGACCAATTCTCCATTATCTTTAATCTTCTCTATATAATTCCTTGATTTCTTAATACTCTCATTAAATATTTATCAGGTCTATTCCCCCCCACTGCTCGCTCTCTCTTGCCATCATGTTAAATGTCTTCCTCGTTTCTTCCTCCATTAATTACATAATGCCTCTCATTTATTATAGTCCGCCATCTCTTTTGTTCTCTTTTTATGTAACTGTTCTAATTCGTATAGATCCCTTAAGAGCATATTAATTTTCTTTTGCCAGTCTTTTTTTTTTTTTTTTTATCCCAATCGGTATCAAAATTACCCTGATATATGCCTTATGTGCTTCCCACACCGTGGCTATCGAGACTCCTTCAGTCTCTTTTCTTTCAAAATGTTGTTCGATCTCTTTCTTTATTCTCATGATCCTGAAGAAGTTTCTCATTTAGTTTCCACGTTTCTCTTGTGCTCTCTTCCCCATAATAACTTCATTGTAACAGGTGCATGGTCCAATATTGTTGTTACTTCTATATTTGTTTTTTATCAATGCCTCCAAGAGTCTATGTTCCATCAATATGTAGTCTAATCTAGAGTACGTCACATGTGTCTGAGAGTAGAACATGTAATCTCTCTCTGGGATGCTTCACTCTCCAAACATCCAAGATATCCAAAATAGACATTGATAGAACATTCTTTGCAAAGATTTCAAGCATCTACCTTCCTCTCTCTGCACATGCGACGTTGTATCAATCTGGGGATCCATGCAAAAATTAAAATCTAACTGCCAATTCTCATTTTCCATTTCCCTATTCTTTTACCCCCTCTCCCATCCTGGAATGTCTATTTTCTGTAGTTCAGGTCTCTCACATCTTTCTGGAATCTCAGTCTTGCAGGATTGACCTTCTTTCTATCTTATTAAACATGCTGGGAATCCCCAGCTATATTGTACGTTCTGTATCTTAATCTGTTCCAGTAATGGTTTCAACGTTCTCCTTCTAGCCAATGTTTCCAATGATATATCAGCAAAAATTACATCTTCTATATCTATTCTCCTGCTCTTCCAATTTATATAGCAGATTTCTTTGCTCTTTTCTTCCATCTGTTTTTCTAGTTTTGTTATCACTTGGGCATGTTTATCTAGTTTCACTTCAGTCTCCTCTACCCGTGATAAAACATGCCCCAGATCTTTATGTATTATCACCATCTCCTGTTTATGGATCTCTCCAATCTCATAAACATATCTGCTATATCAGATTTAGTTGGTATCTGTGCAGCGCTCTCTTGCTCTTCAGAGTTCTTGATAACCGACTCATTTTCTGTGTCTTCAGCTTCTATGCTTTGACTAATTAACTACTCCTATAGACAATCTGGAACACTCGCCCTTGATGTCTTCCATCTCCTGTCTTCCACTCACTCATTGTTGTCTCTCAGGGGTTTGTCCCTCCAAATAAATTTTTCATGTGTAGGTATATATTATATTTTTTTTTTATTGAGCTTGTTTGGGGTGGCTTGAGCCCTCCCCCTTTTGCCACTTTACTTTTCATGGTGTAAAGATATTTTCCCAGGCCAGAAGGATTACTTCTACAGGGCAAGACTAAAGTTAAACCCTCTAAGGATAGTGTCTCTTAAGTCTTTCCTTCACCCCTACACCAATTTCCTTCCCAGGGGTCTATGGATTCTTTTTCTTGCTTGTATCTCTGTTTTTACTCCTCCTGGACCCCCACCTTATGGTCTTTAAACAGTGCAAGTCCAGTTTAAATTTTGAATCACCTTATTCTGTAGCCCCTTGTTTACCTCAACACCACTTTCTCCCTCTGCAAAGTTCCACAGGTCCTGGGCAGTTCTCTGATGTATGGGTTGCTTTCTCCTCAGTGCTAAGCCAGCCAGTCACTCTACCTCCCTGTGCTCCTCTGCAGCAGCCACGTGTCCACCGCTCCAGGCACCAGCTCCAGAGTCCATGTCCTCTGCAAGTTGAGCTACCTTTATACTACTTTTTGTGTGAATGTATTTTTTTTTTTAGTTCTGTTAAAATTACTACAGTATCAGTGTCCACTCATCTTTTGGAGATGATTGGTGGGTTTGGCCAGGCTGATTTGGTATGAGAAATGCAGTTTGTGGTTTTGCCTTCTCCTGTGGGATTACCTTTGCTTGCAACAATATACAATCTTCAGTCCTGTGATGGTGTGCATTTAGGATTATGTCTCTGATTTAAGTATATTTAGGACATTTGGGTGCCACTAATGTCATTCTCAGCATATAAAGCAATCAGTACTGAGTATGGGAGGCAAAACAGAGACAGTAAATCCTGCTACAGAATCTGGAAGAGTTAAACTTTTGTACCACAAGATGTTTATACCCAGACAAAAAAAAGTAAGCACAGGCAAAAGAATCTTGCTTTGAAAACCTACATAAATGCACTTTAATATACAGGAACATATTTAGGCTACATTTCTCTAAAAATATTATGCATTTCTACTTTTTTTTTTAAAAAAAAAAAAAAAAAAACAATATCACTACAAACTACAGCTTAAAAGCATTGCAAATGGATCTTAAATGCATATTCAGAGGCTTTTAGATAATAGCAGTGGAAATGATCAGGTTGCTAAATTCGATAAACAAAAAAAAAAAAAAAACAAGCACAACCTAAAAACAAAAACACCAGTGTGCCTTACCCAAGTGTGATTTATAAATGTTAAGTACACAAAGCCAACCCAAGTCCTAGATATTTCCTTCACTGTATGTAAGCATAAGTATTTGATCCCTTGCTGAATTTGAATATTTGCCCACTCACAAAGAAATGATCAGTCTAAAAATCGAATGGTAGGTGTATTATAATACAGACAAAATGGCAACAAAATATTCAAAAGAAATGCATGTCTAACAAATTATGCACTGATTTGCATGTTCATGAGGGAAATAAGTATTTGATCCCCTATCATGCTGCAGGATTTCTGGCTACCAGGTGTCTTTCATACCGGTAACAAGCTGAGATTAGAAGCAGCATCTTAAAGTGAGTGCTGCAAATCTAATTTTGTTACCTGTATAAAAATACACCTGTCCACAGGAGCAATCAAACAGATTCCAAACTCTACACCATGGCAAAGAGCTGTCCAAGGATGTCAGGGACAAGATTGTAGACCTACACAAGGCTGGACTGGGCTACAAAACTATCGCTAAGCAGCTTGGTGAAGGTGACAAGAGTTGGTGCAATCAGTCGCAAATGGAAGAAACACAAAACAACTGTCAGTCTCCCTAGGTTTGGTGCACCATGCAAGATCTCACCTCATGGAGTATCAAGGATCATGAGAAGAGTGAGTAATCATCCCAGAACTACATGTGAGGATCTTGTCATTTAATTTCCAGGCAGCTGGGACCACAGTCACCAAGAAAACAATTGGTAACACACGCCGACAAGGATTGAAATCCTGTAGAACCCGCAAGGTCCCTCTGCTTAAAAAAAAGCACATGTCCAGGCCCGTCTGAAGTTTGCCACTGAACTTCTGAATGATGCAGAGGAGGACTTGCTGAAAGTGTTGTGGTCAGAGGAGACCAAAATGGAGCTCTTTGGCATCAACTCACCGTATTTGGAGGAGGAATGTTGCCTATGACCCCAAGAACACCATCCAAACTGTCAAACATGGTGGTGGAAACATTCTGCTTTGGGGGGTGTTTTTCTGCTAAGGGGACAGGACAACTGCACCGCATCAAAAGGGACAATGGACGGGGCAATGTACTGTCAAATCTTGGGTGAGAACCTTCTTCCCTCAGCCAGGGCATTGAAAATGGGTCATAGATGGGTGTTCCAGCATGACAATGACCCAAAACACATGGCCAAGGCAACAAAGGAGTGGTTCAAAAAGCAGCACATTAAAAGGTGCTGGCGTGTGGAGGGTGCTGAAAAAGTTCGAGTTGCTAAACATCAGCCACCAAACCTTAATGACTTGAAGAGGATCTGCCAAGAGGAGTGGGCCAAAATCCCTCCTGAGATTTGTGCAAACCTGATGGCCAACTACAGGAAACATCTGATCTCTGTGATTGCCAACAAGGGATTTGCCACCAAGTACTAAGTCATGTTTTGTGAAGGGGATCAAATACTTATTTCCCTCATGAACATGCAAATCAGTGCATAATTTGTTAGACATGCATTTCTTTTGAATTTATGTTGCTATTCTGTCTGTTACAATACACCTATTCGATTTTTAGACTGATCATTTCTTTGTGAGTGGACAAACATTCAAAATCAGCAGGGGATCAAAATACTTATTTCCTTCACTGTATTTACAAAATAAATGGTCTGGATAATTACACAGCAAGATCTCTTAATTAAGTTTCTGAGGACATACAAATCTAGCCACGTGTTCTTTGATGTCTTTATCTGGATGCTGTAATAATGCTACCAGATTTCTCTGGAACACTGTCTGGCCTCTGAAGAGAAGGGCATATAAAGAGTTCTCTTCGTAATGACATTGTCCATTACTATGCTGTTGTCTGTCCAAGTTCTCCGAAAGATTTGCAGCAAATGTCATAGCTCTGATAAGAATGTCCCTATTAGTTTTGCTGCCAAAGAGATTGGATAGCGATGCCGGTGCCTGCAAAGAAACAGATAAAAGCTATATTATAAAGGTTAGCTCTGTGCTTCCAACAGTACACATCCAAGGATACAAAGGAAAACCACTGCCTGACAGTATAGTATGTTAGAGATCTCATTTCTAAAGAGTCCCTAAGATTTTAATGGAGGATTCTATTATCCCCACAGAACAATCTAAACATCTACTACTTATTTTATGTGAAAGGAATCTTGGAAAGCTGGTATGTTTTTATTCTATTCAAGATTCAGAAACCACTTATATTTGAAAGCCTTTGCAGAACCCTTTACAAACATAAAATACATCCACCAACATATCACAATGATAGTAGTTTCTGACACTTGTTTTAGGAGTTCATATGACTAGAACTGTGGCTTATTAGTAAAATCTTGTTTTTATGGATCTTGATGGTGCCATACAGATTCCCACTAGACCACCCTCAGTTGGGTAATAGATGTATGGTACTCCAACATGGAGATATGATTTTTTTTTTTTTTTTTTTTTTACCAGACACCTTCATTTTTTGTTCGGAATGTATTTATAAGCATTGCAAAATATCTCTTAAAACTGCCATCAAGCTAAGTAATATTTCTTGTCTCATTTCAAGTTTCTTATAAAACCCCAAATCTAAAATGGTGGAAGTAGATGTCTTGGAGAATGTTGTTCTGATAATGCTATGAGGCCAATGAACTGATACGTTTTGTGCTAAGATGATAGAGACATGGAAGTGCTACATAATAGCCGTGGGGAAAGGGGGGGGGGGGGGGTTAAATCACAAAATATAGTACAGAATATATTCATAATGAAATTACTAAAGGTGTCCTAAGCACTACCTTGTGGCAACATTTAAGTTGGCCACGCACTGTGTGAATGTCATCAAGTTCCTGATGAACCTGCCAAATTATGCTATAAGGGTTGCTTTCTTTGCTCCTTCTCAACAAACATCCTAAGACTGAAAAGTTGATGGAGCTGCATGGAAAATGTTTGGCCAAACAGCAAATGCAACCAATGCAGCCACAGTTTCAGTATAACCCACGGGCAAAAAAAAAAAAAATCTAACAGTGTATGGCCAGACTACCTGGAGTAATTTACAGCAAAACTCCAGATAAAAACAGCTACACACAGTTTTACTTGCAAAAGAATTTGTTCAGCCAATCTTGTGAGCAAGACAACTTTATCAACCAGCATAGCTAGGTTGGTGACTTTATGTTTCTCTATTGCTGTTAAGGCATTCAGCTTTGTGAACCACCTTCTCCTGGTCTTTCACAGAACAGTAAAGGCATATTTAACCTGTTTATTGCTAGCACTGTAAAATCGACAGAGCTCAGGGAGCTGTCTCCTTCTGTCTTTGCCATTGTTCAGAGGATTACAGAAGCCTATTATAAGGAAGATTCAGCCGTTGATGCTAGTTGTAGTTACTGACGTATTTTAACATGCAAGTAACAATTTAATGAATACTACTGCTTTGGTAGACATGTATATGGTGTAACATTGCTTAGTTATGAACTACATTGCTCAGCTGGGCCCTTTCTATACACCCATCTTAATCTGAAACTAAATCTGACAGTGCATAGCCAATTTCATGTTTGACAGCCATAAAATAGGACGTGCCAAAGAAAAAAAAAATAAAAATATGACAGTCTTCAGCAAGTTTAGGCAGTTACTGTATCTTATGCTTACAGGTAAAATGCAGATATCAATGGCTGTTAGCCCCAGAAGGAAATTGTATTTTCACAGGTTAAACAACATTGTGTGGACACAAATGTCACCCCCCCCACCTTCACGATAAAATGGCACTCAGAGGTGCCTTTGAGCACCTCTCTAGCCCCTTTATAGAACGCAAACAGGATTGTCTGTCCAAGAATGTACGGCATCTAGGACTTCCCACGGTGACAGTGATCACTCACTTTACTGTATCTATGGAAGTGAAGGGTTGTCACCCTAGGCTGCTCTCCTGATTTGGAGTACAAACGTTTCCTCTCCTCAACTCAGTTACATAGAGAGGAGGGCATTTGTAGTGTATGGATGATGGCCTGGAAAGCAGATGATATTGTATGATACCAAATTTCTGTTAGGATCAACAAGTTTTCTATACTTGCAAAAAATGCATTAAAGTGATTCTAAAGCTAAAACAGTTTACCTTAACCATTTCAATACCGGGCACTTTTACCCCCTTCCTGCCCAGGCCATTTTTTCAGGTTTCAGCGCTCTCACACTTTGAATGACAATTGCGCGGTCATACAACACTGTACCCAAACTAAAATTTTATCATTTTCTTGACAACTAGAGCTTTCTTTTGGTGGTATTTAATCACCACTGGGGTTTTTAATTTTTGCTAAATTAACAAAAGACCAAAAAATTTTGGGAAAAAAAAAAAAAAAAAAACACCACACGTTTTTCTTTGTTTCTGTTATAAAAGTTTGCAAATAAATAATTGTTCTTCATAAATTTAGGCCAAAATGTATTCTACTACATGTCTTTGGTGAAAATAACCCAAATTAGGATGTATTTTTTTAGTTTGTAGGAAAGTTATAGAGTTTCACAAACGATGGTATAGATCTGAATATTGATCAATCCTGAAGTACTGACAGCCAACCTAAGTTCTTGAGGTCCAAGAATGTCAGAACAGTACAGATATCCCCCAAATGACCCCTTTTTGTAAAGTAGACAGTCCGACGTATTTAATATGAGACATGGCAAGTTTTTTGAAGTTGTATTTTTTGTCATAATTTTGTGGAAAATTTAAAATTATTTTCACTATTTTTTTTTTCATACTGTCACCAGTGCAGTACAGCGTCATCATATAACTGGCATTGCGGTGATCAGTGACACCGGTAACAGTATGAAAAAAAAATATATATATAATTTTTTATTACATTTTTCGCTTTAAGATTTTTTTTTTCATATTTCACTATGACGAAAGTAATTTTTTTTTTTTTTTTTTAACACAATTTGCTTATAGCAAAGGAATTACTTTGCTATAAGCAAGAATTTACCTGAATGACAGATTTATTCAGGGTTTTTTTTTTTTTTGTGCTTAGCTGCGATTTGGGCACAGCTAATCAGATGACACAGCTGGGCTGTGATTGGCCCAGCTTGTGCATGTGATCGCTGTGACCATTCACAGCTAGACACTAGTATACAATGGATGGCATGAATGAAGCCATCCATTGTATACAACTGTCATGTGACCTGCTGTGATTGGTCACAGCAGGTCACATGGTACCGGCAACGGGGGGCCGGTACTCAGATCTGTCATCGGCCGTGTCTGAGGTACACGGCCAGTGACGGATCGTGCCGCTGCGCGGCTCTGCAGGCGCGCAAACTGCGCATGCCCGGGAGGACGTCATATGGCGTCCACCCGGAACGCTGAAGGATTTTGCCAGCCGCCAAACGGCCATTGGCCGGGCGGCTAATGGTTAATGCATTCCTTGCATTAAGGTAAAAAATATTTTGTATTATTCCATGTGTGAAGGGGAAGAGAGGGGAGCTATTGGCTCCTGCTGCTCTCAATCAAATGCAGAGAGGAGGAAGTGAGGGGCGGGGCTCCATAGACACATCTTGGGAGTGAGCACGCACTGTGTGTCCCCATAGCAAACAGCTTGCTATGGGGACACAAGAAGAGCCAAGATAGCTAGCAGAGGACCCAAAAAGGAGGAGGATCGGGGCTGCTCTGTGCAATATCATTGGGAAGGGCAGTTGAGTACAAAATGTTTATGTTAATTTTAGAAAAATTATCCTTTTGTTATACTAAGCCTGAAAAAAAAAAAAAAAAAACCACCACCACATCTAAGGATCAGTAAGCTGCAATATATTAAATTTTTTTTTATCCATTTGGATAGGTGTGACTGGCTGGTTCCTATAATCATGATCCAGTTTACCACTATTCATAGACATGGGAAACATTAACATATTACCTTGCTAGATAAGAGAGCTGTGGTCATCGAAAGGTTTGCTGATAAATTCACAAGAACCTTTAAAGTATGCATCTGCAGAAAGAGAAATAGGCATTTGAAGAACTATGTCATTTTAAACAATATGTAAATTAGATTTTTATTTATATTAAGTGTCTAATGCTGCTAAAGCATCACTTCACTACTTATTAAGGGCACACATCACCTATTGTTAGTTATAAAAGGAACACGACTACTTTATACTGCTGCCTACAGTAAGATTGGACACTGGCAAAAAAAAAAAAAAAAATATTGAAAGCCTGCCCAGGATAACGCCCTCCTACTACTAGTACTAGCATGCCTCCATTTTGTAAGAAAGCAGTATTGAGAGAACATAAACCCAGAGGGGTGGGACCGGAGTCCCTCAATGGACTCCAAGAAAAACATTTTACGGAGTACAAAAATCCTAAATAGGTCTTTAGCTTCAGGATGTCCAAAAGCAGTCCCAACTGAGGGTGGGCAGCACAGTAAAAAAGGAACACCAACAGGCCCAAGAATAAAAAACAGAAAAACTGGGGACAGCCTGCACCTCAAAAGAGACATTGTAAGGACCTTATGCCCAAAGCCGACATTACATGAGGCTGAAATATCCACCTGGGAGAGCTTAGAGATCGCGTGAACAGAGGATCAAGTGGCAGTCTTACAAATCCGGGAAACAGCTGCTTGTTGCGGAAAACTAAGTACTCACAAAACTAGTAGAGTTAATCTTGACAAGAAAGAGTGGAACCAAATCCTTGAGTCCATCTCTTGAATGATGGTCTGCCGTAGCCAAATAGAGATAGTGTAACAAAAATTAGGTACACAGTCTTATGGGATCCATCTGGCTGACAAAAAGAAAAATTTGTCTTCTTGAAAGAAATAGCAACCGAGACTCTTCAAGCAAACCACATCCACACAACGGTAGGAAATTTCATTTTGGTGAATTGAAGACAGAGGGACAAAGGAATAACTGGCAGAAACTACCTTAGGCAGGAAGGAAGTCCTAGGCCTCAAACATCACCTTGTCCCTATATAAAACCAGAAAGGGTCCCTTACAGGATCAGGCCAGCAGTTCAGACAAACTTGCCATGCAGAGATAATGGCTACAAGGAAAATGGCTTTGTTGGTAAGAGCAAAGAGGAATTTCTGTACAGTTTTAGAAAAACCAGATTCACATCGCACTGAGTCACGGGAATAGAAGGGGGGAGTCACATGAAAGACTCCTTGTACTAAAGGGTCTTCTAAAAGAGTGAGAGGCCAATGACCTTGAAAACAGAAAAAAGAAAAGGGCAGAAACCTGACCCCCCATAGTGCTGAAAGTCAAATGCTGGTCTAAACCAGTTGCAGGAAGTAGATGATTTGTCCCACACAAAGTGTGGAGGTTGATACCTCAAGACTTACACCAAGTGAAACAGGTCTTCCATGTTCAATGACAGACCTTGCTAGATGTGAACTTTCTAGCATTTAACATTGTAGGAATCACAAAGATGACCCTGTCCCTTAGAACCTGGGCTTCTACAGTCATGCCATTTCAGCCAGGGTGTTGTGAAGCAGGATGGCAAATCAGTCCTTAGAACAGAGGATACTGATCACATAGGTGTCCTTTTATCATGCAGCAGTAAATGACCGCTGCTCAGTTCTTTGGAATTCTCAGAGGAGACAGTTCTCCTCTGACTGCCTGTTCATGAAGCGGTGTGGATTGCTTCTCTTAATGAGTGAAGCGATCTACAAATGCTTTGAACTCTAGAAAACGGCTGCTGTTACTGTAATCTTGCGAGATTACAGTAAGATCAAACACACAATTTACTAAGAAGTGGTAAATTACCGCTGCTTAGTTTACAGCTCTCAGAGGAGATCACTCAGTACCTCACTACACCACACACACTTTTTCTAACTTGCTCTACCCCATCGGGGGTTGTGAAATGCAGGGGGGCTTTTCCACTGTCTTGGGGGCTCTGATTGAGGAATAAGGAAGTTAATCTTCCTCCTTAGTTCTATCCTCAGGATCGCCGCTGATCTCAGTTTCATAAAAGGACACCATAGTACAGATGGGAGTGTCTTCCAGGAGTCGAACCAAAGTCAGCATAATACAGCTGTCTGGTCCTGTCTGAAGCAATGCGGATAACTCCAATGTTCTCATACTCGATCCTGTAAAACAGATCAGAACAAAGTTCCATGGGAAGGAAGGCATAGTTCAGGGTGTACTGGTGAGGAAGTCAGTTAGCCAGCCATCTACATTTGATATATACAGGCCATGCCCGATGCATATGACACACGAAAGAATATGAGACAGAAGGCTTCTTGCAAAACACCATGGCTGGAAAGCTACAGCCATCTGCTCTACACATTCTATAAGTGAGGGATTAACCACAGCAGCCAGAATCAGATGGACAGCGCCTGCCAGTGAAAATAGAGCTCTAGAAAGGGCTTTCAACCCCTTATCAGTTGAGCCCCCCAAAATAGATGCATCTTCTACACAAATAGTAAGTAGCTTGTTGAGGCAGGACACTGCTGGGTCCACAGTGGGAATTCACTACTTCTGCATGGCTAATAAGCATATCAAGGGAGCAAACAGCTTATCAGGAAGCTTCCAAGCTCCTTAGAGAAATAAGCTGACAAAGCAGGTGCAAATGAAGTCTTTGTGGCCTTAGATGTTTTATAAGACACAAGACAGGAAACCCTGAAACTAGAGAACAAGCGTGTTGCATCTACTAGAGTGGTGCATACCACATCAATTAAAGCCAGAATGGTCTCCTTTAATTTAGGAGTAATAGTGGCAGACTACAACTCCTAAGTCGGTCAAGGACTGGATTGGCTCAGAATCAAGTAGAGTCTCTGCGACTGATGGTTCAGAAAATACTAAGCCCACAGGAAAATCAGATCTAGATTCTGCAGGGAGGGTATGAATGCGTGCTTGTTTATGTCCATGCAAGCAGCCCTGGAACCATTATTAGAGTGTGAGCTGGGGGCACCTGGTACAGTGTACATCTAAAATTAGACATGATTTGACCGCAAGGTGGTAACAGCTGGAGGTGACCAAAGTCAGCAACAAGAACAAATTAAAGGCCCACATGGCTCAGCTCAGTAACTGGGGAGATGCTCCAACACTGTATGGCAGGAAAAAGTGCACACAGTTCATGTGCACAACAACCCAGCAAGCATAAGATGTCAGCGCCCAGTCCCACAGCACTATATAGAACAATGGTACCAACTTATCTCAGTAAATGAGGTAGATCCTGATGCCTGGCCTGACAGGTCTACTTGTTAAGTGACTCAGGGCAAGCATTGAGGCAATGCCAGTAGCTCTGGACCCTGGAAAGGGCTCTGGAGCTAACCTGTACCAGAACGGCATCTGCAAAGTGTCCTACGCAAAACCCAGTGCTAGAAAGTTAGATTTCAGGCTATCCCCACAAAAGCCAAACTGAGTACGACCATACCAAACAGATGCAATTAAAAAAAAAGGTTTGAAGAAAAAAAACTAGCAAAAATAAGTTAGCGGTTTACACACCAGAGCTGAAAAGACATCCATCCTCCTCCTAGGATACTTGCAAATAACTGAGGCACACTGCGGTTATCCTGGACAGGTCTACGATGTTTTTATTTTTTGTTTGCCAGTGTCCAATCCTCCTGTAGGCAGCAGTATAACCTGAAGGTTAAAGACTTCCTGTATCCTTAATGGATGAGGAAGTAAACATTTTTATAGCCCTAGGACTATAAAGTAAACACTGTAGTAATATGTAAAGGACACAAATTTTTCATTAAAGAGGAGTTCCAGCAACTCCACCAAAAAAATTTAAAAGTCAGCAGCTACAAAATACTGTAGCTGCTGACTTTTAATATTAGGGCACTTACCTGTCCAGGCATCCAGCGGTGTCTTCACCCCGAGCAGATTCTTCAAATCGGCTGGCGCCGGCATCTTGACTAAGGGAAACCAGCAGTGAAGCCTTGCTGCACTTTGTGAATGGGCTGCAGTCCTCTGGGACCTGTGAAATGTCAAAAAAACCAGATATCTACCCCCCCCCCCTCCCTCCTCAAATGTGGCAGCGGAGGGGGAGGATGCAGATAAGCAGAGCTTCCACTTTTGGGTGGAACTCTGCTTTAACCAATATTAATTATAAGCTACTTTAATTGTAACTGGGAAGTTGTGGTGGCATTGAAATCTATGTTGTGGTGGTGAAGTACTAGAACCCCTTACAAAAACTAAAACTGGGTCAAGGCTTCTCAACAAAGAAACAAAAATCGCAGACATATCAAATGCACTGATAATAGTAGCTCATCTATGACAGCCCTAGGCTGTAATAGTGCAACAGTTTTACAAAACACTTGATATGTTACCCAATACACCATACATTTGTATAACAGGCCATAGGCATTTAAAGTCAAAAGACCTCTGACCAGTGTTCCTTGCTTTTTTTGGGCTCATGTGCACAAGCCTTAAAGTGATATTAAAAGGCATGTTTTTTCCATGTCATACTTACCTGCTCTGTGCAGTGGTTTTGCACAAAACAGGCCTGATCCTCTTCTTCTCGGGTCCCCCACCAGCACTCCTAGCCCCTCTCCTGCAGAATGCCTCCAGAGAAAGCAGCTTGGTATGGGAGATACTAAACAGGCTTGCTCTAGAGCCACTGCTCTGTGTGTCCATTCACACACACAGCCGCGTGTCAGCCCCGCCCCCTCTTGCTCAGCCAATGAGGGAGAGTTCCCAGAAAGCCAAGGAGCTTTTGCAAATCACATGATCGCGATGGGTCTCAGGCGTTGGATGGGGGTTTTTTTTAAGCCTGTACACACACCTCTATGTTAACTTATGTGTCCATGCACACATTAGAAGATGGGCATTTACAGGTTAAAAAAAAAAAAAAAAAAAAAAAAAAAACACCCCAAAACACACACAAGCCAAATGCCTGTAAGAGGGATTTATTACGAACGCACGCGCTTCAACGTTCATTCATTCCAATCGCCAGAATAAATGAAAGAAGCAGAGCTCTGCTGGCCCTACTTTTCCTATGGATCATGGGAGTGCACTTCATTCTGCACTCCTGTAACCCATTTTCAGCTGACAGCTGGCTAAAGCTGTCAGCTAATGCTACTGAGCCAGTCCAGGCTCTGGCGAGATCCACCCAAATGCCTGGAACAGCAGCTGGCTCAGCCTCTCAGGAAGCCACAGAGAGGCTGAGCCAACTGTTCCAACCCTTGACACAGCTTGGCACTGCAGTGAGCGCTGGAGGGTCAGAGCAGAGTGCAGGAGATTGACAGTAACCATCTCTCTGCAGACTGAGAACTGAATGAACAACGGTCTTTGATTGCTCAGTTTTCAGTCTTAGAGGCAGCAGGGGACAATTGCACTGATGCTGCATGCATCTAGGGGAGTATGATTGTTTATTTTACATTCTCGAACTTCTCTTAATATACTGACCAATGGAAGCCATAAATGCTCAAATGGACGTGTGCAAAACGCAGCTTTAAGCATAGTTTTAAAACAGCTTTTCTCTTGCTAGGAAAAAGGCATTCAGGGGAGCTGAACAAACACTCGGTGTGCATAAGGCCTTACTTGAAAGGAAGTGAAAGCTTAAGAGATACATAGACTGTACTAGCATAAACCACTACTACAAAGGAGACAATGTTTCCACATAACCTGTTCATGTGATCGAACACTAGTCTATTAATGTTACATACCTTGGTAGCTTCTTCTCCATCCACCAATAGAGTGAAAAAGCAGGGGATGTAATCTACCAGGTATTCATGGTAGTTATTGGTGACTGACATATTAATTGCTAATCTTAAACCAGCCAGTTGCACTTCAGAATTCAATGATGATGATTTAATTTCATTACATACATCACAGAGGAAATCCTGTGGAAAATAAAGCAATGTTTCTTAGCCATTCTAAGCAAGGATTAAGACATTCTAACAAATCCAGATTTCTGGTTTCATTCAGTATCCCTATGATTTTTTGCTGGCTAGTCACTAGGATAGTGGCAGTCACCTGCTATTAGAAGGACAGCCTATGTCATGTGTCAAACAAGGCATACGGGCCGAATCCAGCCTGCCAAGCCATATCATGTGGCCCTCACACCCGTTCTGCAGCTAAGGGACCTCCCTCATCTCTTATGTTCATTGACAGACACAGATTCTTCTTCAATATCCATTACCAATCAGAGATGTCCTAAAGCAGTGCCACAATGAAGGGTGGGCAAACTAACCAATGGAGAAAAACTCAAGGCAACATGCCAGCACTCCAAACCACCCCGCAGGAGTGACAGGAAGAAGGGTCAGCCGCACACTAGAGGATTGATGAATATAATGTATATTTATTGATCCATAGAACACACAAAACACCAGGACATGAATACAGGACTTGTTAACGCATTTCACACGATCTCGTGCTTAATCACAGGATCCCATGCTTAATCATAACAAAGAAAACAACAAAAAGTACGGTCTTATATTAGGCATTAGTTAATAAAGAACACCTGTCCTAATCAGCACTCCGAGAATCCTGAGGATACACCTAACAAAACATAACACCATTGTATCAAAAACAGTGATCACAGAGAACAAGAAAAGGAGGAAAAGAAAGATGAAAGTGGAATGAAAAGAGAAACAAAGAAAGAGAAAAAGAATAATGGCTAAAAAAGAAAAAAAAAAAAAGAAAAAAAAAACAAAAAAAGAATTGTACCGCAGAAACAGTTAAAGGGCAAAAATGTTTAAACCTACTACAGGACAATTTTATGGTACAGTAGAGGCCCCAACTAGGAATGATGCTCTGCTGGACCTGGTAATCTCAAACCATGCAAAGCTTATTACAAATGTTCATATAAAAGAACATCTGGGTAGCAGGGACCATAACATGATTTAATTTATTGTTAGATGTAAACAGCAAGCACATACGAGAAAAATAAAAAAAACGCTCTATTTTAAGAGAGCCAATTTTCCAAGGCAGAGAGCTGCTCTCCAAGGCATGGTATTGACAAAGCTCCAGATGATCCACATTGGCTCACAATTGATATGATCCAAAAACATTTAGACAGAATAAAAGGTGAATAAAGCACCTGGACCGGATGGCATACACCCAAGAGTCCTTAAAGAATTGTGCTCTCATTTCAAAGCCATTGTTTCTAATGTTTTTAATGATTGGCATAGTACCACTGGATTGGCGTAAGGCCAATGTGGTGCCAATATTTCAAAGGGGTCAAAATCTGTACCAAGTAATTATAGACCTGTTAGTTTAACTTCTGTAGTTGGGCAGATACTGGAAAATGTAATAAAAGACCACATTGAGTTCTTGCTGGAAAAAAATATTTTAAGCAACAGACAGCATGGATTCATGAAGGACAGAAGTCAAACAAATCTGATTTTTTTTTTTATGAGGTGGTGAGCAAAACCTTGGACAGAGGGGTGGCAGTGGACGTGGTATACTTGGATTTTGCAAGAGTTTGACAGTTCCCCACACACGGTTCATGTGTAAGGTAAAGTCTACGGGCTTGGAAAATTCTGTATGTAAATGGATAGAAAACTGGCTAAAAGATCATATTCAGAGAGTAGTGGTTAATGATTCATACTCTGAATGGTCTAGGGTTGTCAGTAGCGTACCCAAAGGTTCAGTGTTGGGACCCTTACTTTTTAATACAGTTATAAACGATATAGGGTCTGAGATTATAATATGTCAGCCTTTGCACATGACACCAAGCTGTGCAGGGGAATAATGTCCTTACAGGATGTCTCCAACTTACAAGACGACCTCAATGCACTGTTTAATTGGACAACAATGTAGCAAATGAGGTTTAATGATGATAAATGTAAGGTTATGCACTTGGGGCTAAGAATATGCATGCATCATACATACTAGGGGGGAGTACAACTGGGGGAATCAATGGTGGAGAAGAATCTGGGAGTTCTGGTAGATCACAAGCTAATGGCGGCATGCAATCCCAAGATGCTGTTTCTAAAGTGAACAAAATCCTCTTTTACATATAGACTCCAGGGAGAGAGATATCATATTACCCCTGCACAAATTAGTAAGACCTCATCTGGAATATACAGTTCAATTTTGGGAACCAATAAACAAAATTAATATTGGGGAACTATAAAGAGTACAGAGAAAGGCAACCAAACTGAGGCATGGAGGAGCTCAGCTATGAGGAAAGATTAGAGGAACTGAATTTATTCTCTCTTGAGAAGAGGAGATTAAGGGGGGATATGATCAAAATGTATAAAATACATCAGTGGTTCATATAGTGAAGTTGGTGTAGTTATTCACCCTGAGGTCATCGCAGAGGACAACGGGACACTTTCTACGTCTGGAGGAAAATAAATTTAAATGTCCAAACACAGAAAGGTTTCTTCACAGTAAGAGCTGTAGTATAACTTTTTTTTTTTAATGGTTGAACTGGATGGACTTTTGTCTTTTTTCAGCCAGACTATGTAACCTGTTGTAGACAGTGAGATGCCTCCAGCAAAGCTGCTGCACTTCTTGCACCTCCCTGATGCTTGACAAAAGCCACTGCGGTGGCGCTGATCCTGATCGGTAGACCACTCAGGCAATCTGTCCAATGCGTCAGCGACAACCTGAATACACAAAGCTTCAGGACATTGATGGGCAGTCAAGCTGCCTCCAGAGTTCAGCAACCTGGGATGAGTCCAATCCCAGGGCTCCTCCCCAATCCAACAGGCTGGCATCCGTTGTGACCACAGTCCAACGAAGTGGAAGGGAGGACCTCCCGGTCTATAGAGATGGAGTCCGCAGCCACTAAACAAAAGAGGCCCTCATCGACCGCTCCAGATTACTCGGATTGCCCTTCCTTCAACGTTCTCATATACAGTGCCTTGAAAAAGTATTCATTCCCCTTGAAATTTTCCACATTTTGTCATGTTACAACCAAAACGTAAATGTATTTTATTGGGACTTTATCTGATAGACCAACACAAAGTGGCACAGAATTGTGAAGTGGAAGAAGAATGATAAATGGTTTAACATTTTTTACAAATAAAAATTTGAAAAGTGTGACGTGCATTTGTATTCAGCCCCCCCGAATCAATACTTTGTAGAACCACCTTTCGCTGCAATTGCAAGTCTATTTGGGTATGTCTCTACCAGCTTTGCACATCTAGAGTGACATTTTTGCCCATTCTTTCCAAAACCGCTTAAGCTGTCATATTGGATGAACAGCAATTTTCAAGTCCTGCCACAGATTCTCAATTAGATTTAGGTCTGGACTTTGACCGGGCCATTCTAACACATCAATATGCTTTGATCTAAACCATTCCATTGTAGCTCTGGCTGAATGTTTAGGGACGTTGTCCTGCTGGAAGGTGAACCTCTGCCCGTCTCAAGTCTTTTGCAGACTTGAACAGGTTTTCTTCTAAGGTTGCTCTGTATTTGGCTAGATCCATCTTCTCATCAACTCTGACCAGCTTCCCTGTCCCTGCTGAAGAAAATCATCCCCACAGCATGATGCTGCCACTACCATGTTGCACGGCGGGGATGGTATGTTCAGGGTGATGTGCAGTGTTCGTTTTCTGCCACATTTAGCGTTTTGCTTTTAGGCCAAAAAGTTCAATTTTGGTCTAATCTGACCAGATCACCTTCTTCCACGTTTGCAGTGCCCCCCCCTCCACATTGCTTCTTGCAACCTGCAAGTGGGACTTCTTATGGCTTTCTTTCAACTATGGCTTTCTTCTTGCCACTCTTCCATAAAGGCCAGATTTGTGGAGTGCACGGCTAATTGTTGTCCTGTTGACAGATTCTCCCACCTGAGCTGCTGATCTCTGCAACTCCTCCAGAGTTACCATGAGTCTCTGAGTTGCTTCTCTGATTAATGCTCTCTCTTTACCCGGCCTGTCAGTTTAGGTGGACAGCCATGTCTTGGTAGATTTGCAGTTGTGCCATACTCTTTCAATTTTCGGATGATGTATTGAACAGTTCAAAGCTTGGGATATTTTTTTATAACCTAACCCTGCTTTAAACTGCTCCACAACTTTATCCCTAACCTATCAGGTGTGTTCCGTGCCCTTCATGATGCTGTGTGCACGAATATTGTCTAACAAACCTCTGAGGGCTTCACAGTACAGCTGTATTTATATTGAGATTAAAATCTAGTGGAACCAATTGCTTTCAGAAGTCACCTAATTAGTAAATAAAGTCCACCTGTGTGTAATTTAGTTAGGGGTATCAGAGTAAAAAGGGGGCTGAATACAAATGCATGCCACACTTTTTAGATATTTGTAAAAAATTTTGAAAACATTCATCATTTTCATTCCACTTTATAATTATGTGCCATTTTGTGTTGGTCTATCACATAAAATCCCAACAAAATACATTTACATTTTTGGTTGTAACATAACAAAATGTGGAAAATTTCAAAAGGGTATGACTACCTTTTCAAGGCACCGTAGAACTGGGCATAAGGAACCACCTCAAAAAAAGGTAGCCACCATCAGGCCTAAGACCTGCATGTAGAAACACAGGGAGAGGGACTTGCAGGACAAGAGCTGTTGAACCGCCTGGAGTTTGTCCGATGGGAAGAACACTGCCCTGCTCCGAATCGAGATTCAGCCCCAGATACTCCAGACGCTTGGATGGGATCAACACAGGCTTCTGGAGGTACAGGATCCTCTTTAGTCCTGTAGAAAACGCACGGTGGTCTCCATGCTGTCCATCAGCGATAAACGAGTCTATGCTTGTAAAAGTAAGTTGTCCAGTTAATTGAGAACACCAATCCCTTGTTGTCTTGAAAGGCCAGGACCGGTACCTCCTTGTCTCAGCAAGGCCAGGACCAATGCCAGGCCTTGGTAAACACCTGGAGATTGGAGGCCGGACTGAAGAAGAGAAATACAAATAGCAAAGTGTAGGAAAGGTTGATGTTCCTCGTAAATAGGAATGTGCACGTTAGCATCCTTGATGTCTATGAAGGCCAGAACATCCCCTTGATGGAGAAAAGCCACCACCGAGCAAATAGACGCCATCTTGAACTAGTAAACCCACACAAAGGCTTTCAAAGCCTTGAGCTCCAGGAAGCAAACCCCATTCGACTTGGGAACTGTGAACAGAGTGGAGTAAAATCCCCATATAAACACCGTAGGCATGCTGCCAAGAGCTGTAGATCAGGAAGGGAGAACAAAAGGGAAAAAAAAAAAAAAAAAAAAAAACCACACATTTGGGGGCCCTCTCTTGTTTTTGTGTATCCAAGGGTGTGGGGGTGGTATGCAGCCTTGTGCAGGATACAGCCTGCATGCTCTTGCTTGTCCAAAGGCAAGTCCTACTGGAGGTAAAGTAGGCAAGTAAAAAAAAAAAAAAAAAAAAAAAAAAAGAAGACTCAACATGGAGCTAGAGCCTGCCCTCTTTGGGTACACCCCCTCCATAAGCCAGAAAAAAATGCTGGAGCACCCCTGCAACAACTGAAATCATTTCATGCAGACCTGAAGACCTGCTTCCGATTCCACCCTCCCAAAAGTGAGAACTTGGAGTGAGGACACTCCACCACTAATAGCAAAGATGCCTGTGACACTAGAAAGAGGGGTCCAGGACATGAGAACAGTTCCACTGCTCTAGAGGGGTATCCCAGAAGACAGGAAGGCCAGAAGCTCCCAGAGACAATACAGGGACACTCGAGGTGGTTCCACTTCATGTAAATGAAAGTAAAGGCAGGACAAGGAAACCCTCGACCAAAAAGGGACAGTTAACCACCACAGAAAGGCTTGGAGGGGAGGTTACACAAGGCCTATCCCAAGCTGACAATATGCGCAGACATGCGACTTGGGGCAAAAAACACACAGGTCCCCTGCTGACGTAGACAAGAAACACAGTCACAATGCAATGTACAATACCCGTGCTGCCCAGCAGCCTCACCACTGAGACCTGGAATGTACCCCAAGCTACTCGTGCAGTATAGAGAGGGACAGTCGTCCAGACCCAAAGAATTGTGCAAGTAAGGTGGCAGGAAACCCTCAAAAAGGCCACTACCAATACTCCAGATCCTGACATGCATCAGTGCTGGGAGTTTGGAACGGTCTGGCTACACAGAACCTAACTGCAAAGGCTGATCCACGCTGCTGACCGCACCGAAGTCAACACTCGTCAACATCGCTCTGCATACACCTGCAAGAACAGCCTGACAGCAGGCCCAGCAGAAACCAGAGAACCGCTGCTGGGAGGGGCAGAAAAACAGAAGCACCCACTCTCACCAGACACAGGCCAGGAAGGGGAGGGCACTGGACATGACAGCATGAGTCTGCATCCGCGCAGCCTTACACCACCCAAGCAGAGGGAAGGGCGCCCCCCCAACGCACATCCTCCCCCAGGATGGAGACTCAGTGCAGCAAAAGTAACACTGAGAAGGTGAATGACAAACTGCCAACCGCCCAATTAAGTCAAAAGCTGCAGTCTAAAGTTGCGACCTGCCTGACTGCGTTGTGTGCCCACCTGCAAGCCCACATAATCCGCAGACACAGACGGGCAGCCGCAGGGCACCACCCTCCCACACAATACATCGCCAGAGAGCCCCTGCACAACGCAGAGGGTATAGAGAGGCCTATATAGGGAAAGAGCTGATCCCCCAAAAAGATTGCTGCTGCAGCTCATGAGGGAGATGGCAAAAGCTTAAGAGGGAGTAGGTGTCCCTGCAGGGAACGCCCAGACCTGGACCCACTACCACCTAAGGGGAGAGACACAGGAAACCCGAGGTCTGCCAAATTTACAAGGGGGAGAGTAGGGTAGGTGGGAAAGGGCATGGACACGAACCACCATAGCCCAGAGGATGGAGGAGACCCTGTAGGGACTGACTCCCCTGGAAGTAACCGCACCCTGCACTGCACCCTGGTAGGGAGGGGGGAAAATCTTCCCAATCCACAGAGTATGCGGGTAACACTCCTGTGACAAAGCCTCCTCTCCAGCAAAGTTGGGGGATGTCGGTATGGATAATACGTGGCACAGACCGCAGGTGCCCGATCATATGTATCCCTATGAGACGTTTAACTCGCAGGTTCCCCCGGTCCAGAATAGGGCATATCGCGGCCAACCTAGCACTGAGCTAGCAGTCAGTGCACGCTTGATGGTCAGAATAGGGTGACCACTTGATCTAGATTACACAGCCTGTTGCTGAGCTCGACTGTTGACAGAAGATCTCCAGAGGAAATGAAAGAAAAATCCCAGGGAAAAAAAAAAAAAAAAAAAAAATTAAAACGCTATGGGACCAAAAGTCACAGCATAAAAGCACATTCATACTCCTGAAAAACACTAGGCAGAATGACTTGGTTGCCTATAACAGAGAAGGGGTTTTATACTCAGAGGACTGCCCATATGAGGTGCAGTTTTTTTTTTTGCCTAGTGTCCTACTAATGTAGGTGGGGCAATAAAACCCTGTTTGGTAAGAGATATTGAAGAAGTTGTGTCTATCAATGTAAGCAAGAGTAATATTGTTTAGTCAATTGTTTCTTACTATAGTGCTGGCACTTAAGGTTCTTTTGCCCTCACCCTATCTCCAATCACCTAGTGTATAGAGTATTTATAATTCAGAGCACGCAACATAAAGCGCACTAGTGTGTACTTTTCTGTCCTGTACATAAATGTGCCTGAAGTCATAAATGGTCCTTGGGCGTACTTGTGAGAAAGCACAAGTAGCAGAAGATGAGCAGAAGCAGGGGCTGCAGATCAGTATGGGGAGTAATGGGGTAGCAGGGAAAGTCACACATGGCTGAGAGAAGTATGAACCTGTCTGACAAAGCCTCATGCAGATGTCCATCACGCGAAGAAGTGGATGATGCCCAGCTGGCCAAATCCACAGCAGTTATATTTCTGATATTTGTATATTTAAAATCAGTTCTACGATTATAGCAATCCTGGAATTTTAAATGAAAATTAATGTTTGAATCACCAACAAATATTAAGAAGGAAGTGTAAACCTAAGTATATCACCTTTATCTGTTCCTGATTTTTCAAGTTCATACTTAAATTGTTGAGTGCATTCAATGCTTTTGTCTTTATAATTGGACATGGATGCAAAAGGAATCTCCCGATTATCTTAATGCCATTGAAATTTCGAATGATGTCCTAGATAAAAAAAAACAAAAAAACTATATATGGGACATTAAAAACATTAATAATATTCTTTTATAAAGAACAATTATGCATACAGAGTAAGAAAAAAAACTGTAATGTAGAGGGCAAGAGGAACTTACAGTGTAGCCTACATTGTTTTCAGCTGGAAGTTTATTATAGTCAAAGCAAAGTCAGCCAGATGGACATTCAAAAAGATATGGCAGTAATCTAAAGCATGACTCATTAAAATTTTCACTCACTGTTATTTACAAATTTTTCCTGGTGCTTATTTAAAAAAGCTTTTCCCAAAATGCAGGTCTTTCTAAGCTCTAAGGCTCACTAAAGTCCAATAGTACAGAGTTCCTCAGTTTAGGGGAAAACACAGCAAGACTAAAAACAACTAAAAAAACAGTAGCAAAGACTGACAGTGCTACCACCCTGTAATCCAGTTTTAAAGAAGCCACAGGTATATGGTCAAAAGAGTCTGCAACTCAAAAGGTTAAAATCCAATCGCCTTTATTAATAACGATGTTGGTGTTAAAATCCAGGAACAAAACAGTTAAACACATTTCAGCCCATTTAGATCTCAGACATAATGGTTATGACTAAGGCCTGCATATGCTGAAACACGTCAAATGTCTTGTTCCTGGATTTTAACCTCGACATCATTTTCCATAAAGACAATTGGATTTTAACCTTTTGGAGTTACCAGCTCTTTTGAATGTCAGAGAAAACTAAAACTGGCCACACACTGTGGAACCAGATGAAATCCACTCAGAAGGTATACCTGCCATCCCCTGCTCCGTTCAACATATGTCAATTGTTCAAAGGAACCTTGTATTGATTTGTATGGTCGTACTCCAGGTGAGAGCACATCTGGTGATGGTAGAGGTCTTAAGACAGATATGAAAATCACTGGAGAATACTTGCATTATTGCTGAATTATATTGAAGACATAGAACCACTGCTTTATTAGACTTTGTGTTTCATATCTATATTTCTAGTGGCTTGTTGGTTAGTGTGATATTGTGAAGGACACGTGGCACTTTTATACACATACACCATTTTTAACTACTTCCCGCCCGCCATGTACTGCAGATGGGCGGTAGCTGCAGGCAAAGCGATGTACCCGTACATCGCTTTGCTCTTTCGGGTTTAGACCACGGATTTGCGCACCCCCCCTGCTGTCATTCGTTGTAGAAGGTGTATGTCAGCAGGTCTCTGCCAGTAATTTGGCCAGGACTCTGCCAATCTCCTACAGCGAATGGAGATGCAGAGCTCTGTCTGTATTTGTAAATACAGGCACAGGATCTAGGTTCTTCTCTCCCTGGAACCATTTTGTTCCAGAGAGAAGCAAAACATCACACGTGAGTAAATACAGTACAGTGCACCCACACACGTTAGAGACATTTTAACCCCTTGTTTGCCACATTTAACCCTTTGATTGCCCCCCCCCCCCACCATTAGTACAGTATTTTTCACTGATCACCATTAGTGCCACTAGCAACGTCAGATAGCGTCAGGGTCAGCATCCCTGCCCGCACACTATTGCATTCACGCTATAGGTCGCTGATCACCGTCATTACTAGTATAGTGTTTGTACGGATCAATATATTGATCACGAACAAAACTATACCAGTGCCCCTTTAGTATTAGTGTCCCCAAAAACGCAGTTAACAGGATAATCCCCGGTCGCTGCCAACACTAGCATTTAGCCCCAACGCTCCCCCCACCCCTAACAAGAAGTGCAGTGTCAGTATAATTTCTGATCACTGTCACCTGTAATACATTGCACACAAAACCACAGTGTTCACAGACTCAGGCCTGATCTCTTAGCACTTGCCGGTAATTTTTTTTTTGTAGCGGTTCAAGCAGTCCCTGACAGCCGGGTTCTCTTTTTCCCTTGAGTTGCACTAGGTAGCTGTAAATTTAGAGTCCAAAATGTCCAACGAAAGGTACACTAGTGAAGAGGCCTACAGGATAATGAGCATGTCAGGTGAGAGCGAAGGGGAAGACTCCCTGACACAACCAGCCTCAATACAGACCTGTAGACAGCAGCGGTACCCTGACAGGTAGCTCAGACGATGGAAAAGAGGTCCCCATTAAGATCAGGCGTACCCGACTGCATGAAGCTGAAGTGTTAGGATCGCATGACTTGTCTCATATGCAGCAAAGTGCCAGTACTAGTGCCGCACCACCTTTTAGTGAACTGGCGAGCACCTGTGGCCTAGTTATCCTGGTCTTTTTATACCAGCACTGCAGTATCACTTGGTGACGTGGCGAGTCCCATAAGTGCAGTACAAGCTGGTGCGGTGGCGAGCACAAGTAGTGTCCCGAAGCCACCAAGAATTTGCACACAGGCCCGTAGAGCCCCTAGTGTCCTTCTGGATGTGCTTGCAAATCCTGATTAGCAGCCCACAGATTCTGCAGCAGCCTTACTTCCCCCATTCACTGACCAACCCGGAATTCAGGTGGAAACAGCAAATTTAACTACTCCCCTTGATTTTATGGAGTTTTTCACAGAAGATCTGTACAATTTGATTGTGGGCCATAGCAATTAATATGATCAACAATATACAGTGAAGGAAATAAGTATTTGATCCCCTGCTGATTTTGAATGTTTGCCCACTCACAAAAATTATCAGTCTAAAAATCGAACGGGAGGTGTATTGTAAGACAAAGACAGAACAGCAACAAAAAATTCAAAAGAAATGCATGTCTAACAAATTATGCACTGATTTGCATGTTCATGAGGGAAATAAGTATTTGATCCCCTATCATTCAGCAGGATTTCTGGCTACCAGGTGCCTTTATAACAAGCTGAGATTAGAAGCAGCCTCTTAAAAAAGGGAGTGCTGCTAATCTCATTTTATTACCTGTATAAAAAAAACCCTGTCCACAGGAGCAATCAAACAATCAGATTCCAACTCTCCACCATGGCAAAGACAAAAGAGCTGTCCAAGGACGTCAGGGACAAGATTGCAGACCTACACAAGGCTGGACTGGGATACCAAACTATCACAAAGCAGCTTGGTGAGAAGGTAACAGTTGGTGCAATCATTCGCAAATGGAAGAAACACAAAACTCATTCTCCCTAGGTCTGGCGCACCATGCAAGATCTCACCTCGTGGAGTGTCAATGATCATGAGAACAGTGAGGAATCATTCCAGAACTATACTATGAGGATCTTGTCAATGATCTCCAGGCAGCTGGGACCACAGTCACCAAGAAAACAGTTGGTAACACACTACGCCAAGGATTGAAATCTTGCAGTGCTGGAAGGTCCCTCTTCTCAAGAAAGCACAGGGGATCAAATACTCATTTCCTTCACTGTATCTAAAAACCACCCTTCCTTTTTCATGTGCACTCTGGAACGCCCGCTCTGTCTGTAATAAGCTCACCACTGTCCATGACCTTTTTGTCTCCTACTCCCTTAACCTACTAGCAATTACAGAAACCTGGCTTCAAGCAGCAGATTATGCTTCTCCCACAGAACTTTCCTATGGAGGCCTTCTCTGGACCCACTCACCCAGACACAGTGGTCAGAAAGGTGGTGGAGTTGGTTTGCTTCTATCCCCACTGAGCATCTTTCAAGTCCTTCATAACCCTCCCTCTTTATCCTTCTTTCGAGACTCACTGAATTTGGCTGTTTTCTCACATCTCTCTGAGGATTGCAGTGATCTATCGACCTCCTAGACCGGTGTCTCGCTTTGATGATTTCTCCGCCTGGCTACCCTACTTTCTCTCCTCTGAATAACCCGCTATCATTCTTGGAGTTTTTAAACATCCCCCATCAATGTTAACAACCTGGCTACATCACAACTCTTAAACCTTACTTCATCTTTTGCCTTAACACAATGGACACAGTCCTCCACTCACTCTGATGGGAATACATTAGACCTTGTTTTTTCCCATCGTTGCACTCCCTACAACCTCACAAACACCCCCTTTCCGCTCTCTGATCACAATCTCATCACCTTCACAGTGTCCTCATCTTCAAACACCTATCTCTCCAAGCAGCAAACAAACAATTACCCGCACAACTTTAACCCTTCTCTTTTCTACTCTGCAACCGACTGCCTCTATGGCAGAATCTCTCCTCTGTCCTGCCCTGACCACTGCTGTCTACATCACTTCACTTTCATCCACATATAGACTCACTTGCTCCTAACTACACTACCTAGTTTCCCGGAAAGCTTGACACAAAAAGGTGTCTTATTTCAATTGGCTATATATAACGCTTTTGTAATTTACAAAGCAACTGGACGTAGGGGCCTGGGGTGGCCAGTGTGTGGATGGCCCCTATGCATTGGTATATATATTTTATAATATTTTTTGGCACATTTCATGTGTGCCCACCATTAGAAGTGGGTGGATGCAGAGCAGTGTATTCTAATGGTGGGCATATCACACACTTTTTCCAGGCAGAGATTTCTTCTCTTTTCCCCCCATTCAGCCCACAGGCTGTATACAAAAACCACACACACACACACACACACACACACACACACACACACACAACATAGCATATACACCAAACAAGGACCAGCGACATACTGGTATATCACTGGACTTTGAGTGGTTATACCAGGATGATGCCGGCATCATCCTGGTATCATTTGTTTCAGACGGCACTCGGCTTTCATGTAAAAGCAATCCTAGTGGCTTATTAGCTGCAGGACCTACCCTGTTGCCTTCCACAGCCTTCTTGGGCAGTCCCGTGCCATCGGGGGAACCTGAGAATGCAGCCAGTGTTTCTGCCAGCTAACCATAGAGCTGATTGGAGACCGGAATAGTGCCAATCGTCTCTATAGTCAAAGAAATCGGAAGCTACGGCATTTCATCACTTCCATTTCACAGGATATAAACAGCGCCATTTGTAAATTGGGAAAGCATCTTATCACACCGATCTTGGTGAGATTAGATAATGTAAGGGCAGAGGAGATACCTAAAGTCTGATAGACCCCAGATTTCTCAAAAAAAGAATCTATGACAATGCCCATTGAAGTTAG